CCCGCACTTTATCGTTCGAGCTATTCATTATAAGCAATAAATCACTCCGCTTTCTACATTCAAAGGAAGCTTGTTAGAACCCGAATGCAGAAAGCTCAAGTAAATAAACACGCGACGCGCGATACGCTCGGGACACCGAGTATACGAGAAGAGAGAGAGAGAGGCAATCGAACAATTTTAATAAAAATTCCAGCTTGCGAGCGAAATGTGGATGTTTGTCATCCAGGGACAGGTATGCTGCTGCTCATGCTGACACTCACAATCAGCCTCGCCTCTCTGGCCCGAGGCGATGGAATAATTTCAATAACAAACGCCAATCGCCTTCGCAGAAGGCGTCGGCAACAAGCCTGGTATCTCTATCTCTACCTACGTGTCAGCTACGTGTACATACGCGCATTCACACGGCGGAGGAAGACTTTCCAATCATTTTCTGTTACTACTGAAACGGGCCCCTCCGGGTCACTTGTCTTCTCTTCCTCCGTCCTCGTCGCGTGCCAACCTTTAAGGATGTATGTGTCATATGTCAAAACATTGACGAAAGCATGAAAATTTTGTGGACTGTTCTACTATTTCTCTTATGAGTATCTGTGCAAAACCTGAGCACAATTCTCTTAACGGTTTGGAAATTATTTAAGTTTAAAGTTAATATTGATTCTTATGAAAAATCGCGTATTATAGCACTTATTGACAAATTTGACAAGGAAAAAACATTGCCAGCGAAACAAAAGTTTTCACATATATTAAAAAAACTCTAATAAATATTTGTGCAAAACTTGATTTAGATTCACTTACTCGTTTAAAAGTTATTTACTAAAAATTGTAGAAAAATATTATCTCTCTCTTTCTCTCTTTCTGCAAATTACTTGTTTTCCTTTGTTTCTTGCAGTTGATTTCAGGGGGTATTCAAAAGTTTTTGTCATAAATTAGGAAAAATATTAATTACAACTATTTTCTTTTACGAAGACGTCAAAAACAATATTATTTTGTGATACTTTAATTCTTTTTATAATCCGGATTTATTTATTTGATTTTTCAAATAGTATAAACGTAAGAAATATATTCTTTTTTAATTTTGGCAGTCTTTTGCTACTATTGTACAGCCAAAACATTCTTAAACACGTGAATAAAAAAATCGCGTAACAACTGCTGCAAAGTAAATGCAAATATATATATAATAAAGAAGGATAAAGATATCATAAAAATATTTTTTGAAAACGTTTTACATACACAAAAAGATCTTGATCTGAAGATCTCTGAGATATTTAATTTTTATATTTTATTTTTGCAATATATTTAAAAGTAACGCATTTGCATATCCGCATTTGGCACAAATGAAAAATTCAATACGCAAATTACTTGGAAAGGGTTGAGATGGCTGATCATTCCGCTTCGGTGGAATCGCAGTCGAATTTCGTGAAAGTTTGGCCTTTTACGAAATGTCGCGTTCACCATGACGTAATAACCAACAGATCTGAGTACCTCTTTTATAATTTCTCTCTCTTACTATATGCTAAGATACTATTTTTATTAATCTCATGATATATATATATATATAAAGATGGACGCGACCGCTTAGATAATCAATAACCTTCTGTCGATTCTTAATTTCTAGATCAGAAATTGAGTCGATGAATGAGATGTTTCTTTGGCTAGCATTTTTTTTTTGGGGGGGGGGGGTAAATTCTATTACATTGTTGAAGAATTTATGTTTTTTTTTTATTAAAAAATATGACGATTAAAATTTGTGTGTCAAATGTTTAACACAATTATTTATGTGTTAATTTAATTATATTGCTGTTGTGTTAATTGAACTCAAATGTTAAATTATTAAAACAACTGAAAAAAGTTTAAAAATAACACAATGTGCACATATTTCTAATTTTGCATAATAGATATGTTCCGTATTATTAATGACAGGATTTATCTATTAAAATTTACAAAAAAATTTAAATATTTAACACACTCATGTGTTAATTTAGCATATTGCTTCTGTGTTAATTGAATTTAAATTGTTAAATTATTAAAACAATTCAAAGAAGTGTAAAAGTAACACAATGTGCACGATTCTTTTTATTAAATTTTACACAATAGATATATTCCGTATTATTAGTACAGAATTTATCTGTTAAAATTTACAGGGAAAAAATGTTGATTTTATTCTACAATAGGAATGAGAGTGACTATAGACCGTCAATAACACTTTTCCAAGTTAATTTTATCATTAAAAATATGTTGATCTTACACAAAATTTATTTCAAATTACTATGAAATTTGCATTTATTTTTGTGTTGAAATATTAATATAGTATTAGTGTCATCATTTAACATATCCATATTATGTTAAATTAACACAAAAATTTGTATAGATCGTTTGGGACATGCGAGATATGTTAAATTTAAGCCGAATTTTCCAATAGTGTAGAATTAATTATAAGGAATTTATGCTTTTTCTCTCCTTTTCTCTTTATTTTTATATTGAACGATGCAAAACGACCGCACGAAATAGATATAGCAACTCGATCGTCCACGGTTCTAGAAGACTGGTCGCATCTGGTGACCTCTTTCGCGCGTAAATATCCGCGTTATCGAAGCATCGCTGTCAATTGGCATCGCGCCGTTATTGCGCTATCGCTGCCATTTATAGTGTCGTCTGCTATATTATTATTTTCGGTTATTGCAGGAATTGCCGAGCGCACGAGACACGCGCTCGCGAGCCTATTCGCGAGCTGGTCGTTATCGAACAACTCGGAATTTAGCGTTTATCGTTAAATGTGGCTACGCAAGATGCGGCACCTGCGATAACATTGAATAGCATCTTAATAATGGACAAGAAAAGATCGGAATCACAGCCACGTTTAACGCTAGCAAAAATGTCGATCAACAGAATGATAAAAATAGCGATAAAAAAAAAATTGCACGTAATGCAATTAATTATATATATAATTAATGAAGAGAAATTAATTATATAATTATTGACAGAGAGAATTTGTCATCTTTATAAATATATATAATGTCTATTTATCTCTTTCTGTATACTTTATTAGTTATACTAGTCATTATTATCTGTATTTATTGCAAGCGTCTCTCTCTTCTCTTATCGCTCATTGAATTCGATGCTAATTATTTGCTGCGATTATCACTTCTTGTTCACTCCTCGTTTACGATAAATACAATTCTTAGTAATTCGTTCAGATGGAACTTTGAATCGTACAGTCGCTAATTAGGGTACAAAGTAAGGGTACCGGTCACTGATTCATGACTTTTCGTGAATCAAAACGATGTCATGGTCGATAAATCTCTGTCGATTTTTCCGATCGCTTAATCATCGGAATTCCGACGATGTATTCGAGAGTACTAATTGAATTGGCATTCGGTATCCGGGAAGGTAAATTTAAGAGCGTGTAGAGATATTAAAAGAGTGTAGAGATTAATAGAGTAATAAAAAACAGAAACTTTGGATTAAAAAACTCGGTAAAAAACTGTCTTTTACTTCCCCAAAAATGGGTTTTTTATCTCATTAATTACTCAGAATGTCCATTTTTAATAATTTATAGCAAAAATCTAATTTTGATGCTTATTTATTAACCTTTGATGCACGGCTTTGAAAAATGAGCATCAAATTTACTAAAATTAGGTATCAGATTTTATGTCCTGTGTTATTCTCACTTCTGGTCCAGAAAATAGCAAAAATAACAACAGTTTAACTATGCTTGATAGAGTTTTCTTCTAACTTTTATGAAACTTTAAAAATAAAGAGCATCAAAAAATACCATCGAATTATAAAAACCAAATTTAACCTATTTTGAAATATTCAAACTCAACTGATTAAACAAATGCGAAGTAGTAATTAGCTCAGCTACATCCACTGAGATTGATTACTGACCCAGTGAACAAAATTAATTTAATTCCCATACCATCTTTTGTTCGAAGAAAACTGGCACTATCTTTCAAAATTACCAAAAAAACAGTTTTTTACCCAAAAATACCGGTTTTTTACTTAGTTTCTTCCTCCATTTTTAAAAAGCTCGGTTTTTTAAAATCTCGTTATCGCCATCGATGCATCGCAGAAGTATTTGCGTCTGTTTCGCGGTTTTCTCCAGAACTGGAAACCGGAAAAAATGTGCGTATTGAACGCCACTGTGCGAATATAGATCGCTCTATTGAGGATAAATTCTGTCAACGTTACTGTTCTCGTAAAAGTATAACTGAGCTCGACTGATGAGCGTGTCTCTCAATTGATACGAGGACTGATAAAACGATCGCGACCGCGAGATTTGTATTTAGTATATTTATATCGATCCCGAATTTCCGCGCTCTCGCTAAACGATTCCTCGAAGCCGCATTGCAAATAGATTGATCACGCACCACGCTTTGTTCCCCACGCAATCGCACCCTCCATCGAAAATAACTCTCCTTCTCGTTAAAGAAGTTTCAGCGAAGCTGGAAGAAGGAGGAAGAAGGGAACTCTAAACACACAGAAATTAGAAACAGCAGAGCAGGCCGGTTCTCTCTCCCTCTCTCTCTCTCTCTCTCTCGTTCTCGAAGCAGCAAGCTTTCGTCGGTCGAAACCTCCTCTCTCGTTGAACAAACTTTTCGAGTTCCGTGTCAACAAACAAGCTCTCCAAGAAGCGATTTCCGTGAGAGAAGGAGGAGGACTTGGCTTCTCCGCAGTTCGTCGGCCTGAGGGGAGAGAGAGAGAAAGAGAGACCTGGACCGGGATAATATGTGACTCGCCGGGAGATCGCCGGCGATTATACGCTCGAATTCGAATGCCTCTTTAATTGGAGGCGAGCTATTTTCCATGATCACAGGAGAGGAGGCCGGCAGCCGCGATCCAGCACGATCGCGATCTCAGCGGATCCGGGCGGATCACTCTATCTGTCTCTCTCTGTCTCTTTCTCAGTCTCTCCGTCTCTTTCTCTCTCTCGCGTTCGCGAAGGGGGATCTATCTAACGGCGATAGTCGATCGATATAGGTATATATATATATATGTATATTTACCTGGCACTACTACGACGACGTTTTCTCTCGTGTTCCAACGACGGGAGGGCGGTTGTGCACGCCAGTTACCTACGCGCGTGAGAAACTATTTTAAGAGCGCGCAACCGGTTCGCGCGTTGCGACGACCGCCGCGGGACATGTTTCTTCGGCAAGAGGCGAAATCCTTCCTTCCATCCTCCGGGAAGAGGAGCGACAATTCCCTTCGCGCGCGATCCTTAGAGGAGTCCCGGTAGTCTCTCGATTCCGGTCACAACGCGAAGCAATTAAATCCAACCGAACACCTGGCTCACCTGGAGAAGATCCACCTGTCACGAACTTATAAAGATCCAGTCGCAATCGCGAGACGAAAGTCACCTCCGTCGATCTTCGCAATCGGAGTCGCCAATCCTCGCGCGCCTTCTCCTCGATTCGTACGATCAAACGCTCTCGCGGGAATCGCGCACTATATATATGTCACAGGCGTGTTTACGACACACCGACTCTCTCGCCTCTCGCGGGCGCGGCGGCGCGTGCATATACCCACGGTGCGCGACCGGCCGTCAAAACAAACACGCGGAGTGACGATGAGCGAGGTCCGTCTTCCGCGAGGATCCTCTTCCTGCTCGGCCGCCGTGTCTCCCATCCGATTGCGCGGTGGATGCGCCAATCGCGAGAATTCCGCACGCGTTTCGCACGCGGCCGCGCGTTCCGTCCTACGTCGTCTTTATCGCGCTGCGGCGCATCGCGACGCACTGCGTCGCCGCGGATCGCGATATCGCGATCGAGCTCTGGCTCGAAGATCGGTGGAGGAGCGAGGAGGTGGCGAACGTTCGTCGTCGCCTTTTTTCTTTTTTTTTTTTTTTTCAAAATTGACGGCTGTATCCCGCGAGGCGGAGGGAGAGAGAAAGAGAGAGGAAATAGATGCGGAATATAGACAGAGAGATTTTGTCGGCGGGGGGGACGAGGAGGTGGTGGAGGAGGAGGAGAAGGAAAAGGAGGTGGTGGCAGCGCTCGCCGCTGATGATGATGGTGGTGGTTGTACCGTCGCGGATCTCTCCGGTGGAGGTGGAGAAGAGAAGAGCGAGAGCGAGAGAGAGAGAGAGAGAGAGAGCAAGAGAGCGAGAATGATGAAGGGAGAGAAGGAAGAGAGGGCAAGAAGGAGTTAAAGAGAGAAAAAGACAGAGAGAGAGAGAGAGAGAACGAGTCCGCTGACGGTCGGGTAGTCCGGACTACCGACTGCTTAAGACTGGTTTTCAATTTTTTCCGACTTTTTGTTTTACCTGTACCTCGCAGCACAGCCTCACCGCGTCTCTCTGCCTCTCTCTCTCTCTCTCTCTTTCTCTCTCTCCCCCTGTTCTTCGACCCTCTCCCCCTACCGTCTTGCCCTCCCGCAGAGCGTGCTAGACGAGTAACGGGTGAGCCGAGAGCTCCGGGGCCGCTCCTCGATCGCCACCGGTCGATCGGACCGACTCCGAAATCCTCGGAGACGGATCTCTCTCTTCGTGGATGGTCCCGCGTGATGAATCTTTCGGTCGCCGAGAGTTTTGGCCTCCGAGAACAAAGCACGATGATATGGGAGAATATTAGAGTCAGGAAGAATTTTATTGTCGAATTAATCAGTTCATGCATGTATTTATTACGCGGTTAAGCTTGTTACTCAAATCGCTTAGAATTCTGATAATCATACGCGAGGTATAATTATCGGGAAAAAGATTTTCCGTCTTATTGACATATATACAATTCACAATTTATTTTTTTTTTGTTTTTTATATTTTTGTTGCAACTTGTTATGTCTGTCTTTTCTCATTTATTCTCTCATCATCTTATTCTGCGTTGTTTGTTGATGTTGAAATTGTAATTACATTTTTCTTTTTGTATTAAAGGGACCTTTCTTTCCCGTTTATAAATAAATAAATTCGATTATAAATATATAAATAATAAATAAATAATAAAATAAATAATAAATATATAAATAATAAATAAACAATTCGATTATAATTAAAGCGACTTTCGATATTCTCGCTGAAATTCGATGAGCACTCGATAAGCGCAAAATTGACAGTTGATTCTCGTTTTCGATTGGATATTATTTTATTATCATCATATTAATACGCGCAAAATCCTTAATTGGTGGAAATCAAATAGCTAATCGGGGGGGGGGGGGGGGGTTTTACGTTCGCGAAAGTAGCGGGCGATTTTTTTGTCAATAACATAAATCCCATATGCTAATGACTCGTCCCAGAAGATTTATCTTCGATGAATTTCGCAATCGAAACTATCCGCAAAGTTAAACGATTCAAAATCCGACTCAACTTGTTTTCGCACCGACTGGATATTTTGCGTATCTAAAATAAACGCTGTCGTTCACTCTCTTCCATGAAATATCGAATTGCAACCGTGACTAGATTAATACCGGTTAGTTCGCCTACTCGTGAATCGTAAAATTGCGATTCTGGAACAGTGTTGATTCGAGAATATCACTCTTTTAAGAAGCTCTAGATTTCGCACTAATGTCAGAAGCATGAAGTAAATTAAAACCTGTGCCTTTATTTTAAATAGAGTCATCGAAATTTAAATGGATAGACGTGTTTTATTTTTCGCTATACTTTCCTCCTTAACTTTTACAATTTTTTTTATATCTTATAGTTTCCTTATTTATTTATTTTTAATCCATGCTTTACAGCTTTGGATAGTTTCCAGTTTTATATTTGTAATTTGTTTTTGTGTGTCTTCTAATCTCTATATTATTCTGTATATTGAATATTAACATATAAATAACACATAAATGAACAAACATATATTTAATTGAATCTGAATAAATAAATCTAAACTTTATTAATAACATAAATAACAAAAATAAGATAAAATATATAATCATAAATAATATATAATCATAATAAAATAGGATTAAATAAACTAAGCTAAACTCCAAAAAACACTCTAAACTAAACTTATATAATTTTCAATAAATAAACTCAAATAAACATTAAAATTAAAAAAAAAAAATAAAGACTATGTCCACGTTTTTTATGTCTAATAACAAATTACGTCTTATTCGACAAGGATTATCATTTTGCGCGTTATTTTTAATCAATTAATTATCTCGAAATTTTTTCGCTCTATGCGAGTCCTTCATCGCGGGGAAATAATGGAGGTGGGGTTGCGAATTCCGAAGACCGTTCGCGTTTACGTTGGTATTCACGCTCGTGCGTTTCTGCGCGTCGTCAGCATCTGCGGAATGCAGATGAGTGCAGGTTGCATTCGGAGTATTACCCAGCGCGCGCGCGCGCGCGAGACGCCTCTTTTTTGCGTTGCAGGAAAGAGAGACGCGAAGAATTTGAGCGCGCAGAAAAATCCCAGCACGCGAATTATACACGCGTTTGCGCGTGTGTTACGTAAGAGGAAGTTCGCGCGCGAAGTTTACGCATGCACTTCTGATTAAAGTGTATTGCGTATTGCGAAACTTTTGAAAGCTCCCGATCGTCAACAAGTATGGCGGTCGTTTTAGCGTCGTGGAATTCAGTTTGCTCATTTCTCATCGATCGCTGTCGTTGACGATGAGTTATGATCGATAACTCATCCCGTTTTCTCATCCGAGGATGTGCGTTGGCAGGCACATAATCGCATTTTTATTCCAAGGTTGTACAATTCATTATTGCCATCTATGTTGTAAACACTCCATTAATACAATGTGCGTATAAATTATAAAACTACTCGGTTTGCACAAGACCCGATAAAGTTACAAGCCACTTTTATAAGAACATAGGATATATATAAGACTAAAAAAATTTCAACGATCGAAAGATTAAAATTTATGAAGACATGGTCATATAATTGCCTTATTTTATTTCATGAAGTAAATCATCATCATAATTATTCCTGCATATATAGTAAAAATGAAAATAAGATATTTTTACGAATTTTTGTAAGATTATAATGCAAGTGCAAATATAAATGAATATAATCAATGCTTTTATTTAAACTTATTACCTTTTAATAAAATAATTATCACAAATCTTTGTCATAATTAAACGACAAATGTTTTATAAATTGCCGTGATGTAAACTTAAAAATCACTTTTATTAGGACACAGAATATATAGATATAAGATTAAAAAAGTTTCAACGATCGAAAGATGAAAATTTATGAAGATATGATCATATAATTGTCTTATTTTATTTTATGAAGTAAATCATCATCATAATTATTTCTGTATATATAGTAAAAAAGAAAATAAGATATTTTCACGATTTTTTGCAAGATAATAATACAAGTGTAAATATAAATGAATATAATCAATGCTTTTCCTTAAACTTGTTATCTTTTAATTAAATTATTATCACAACCTTTCGCCATAATTAAATGACATATTTATAAATTGCCATGATAAACTTATAAGCCACCTTTATAAGGATATAGGATATATATATATGACTAAAAATTCTTGCCGATCGAAAGATGAAAATTTATGAAAACATGATCATATAATCGCCTTATTTTATTTTATGAAGTAAATCATTATCATAATTATTCTTGTATATACAGTAAAAACGGAAATAAGATATTTTCATGAATTTTTGCAAAATATTAATGCAAGTACAAATACAAGTGAATATAATCAATTTCATTATTTTTTTTTAAATTTGTTATCTTTTAATTAAATAATTATGACAAACCTTTATCATAATTAAACGACAGATGCTTTATAAATTGCCGTGATGTATACACAAAGTATATATATGTTTGCTGACTACATATATATA